CAAAGAAGAGAGCCTCGATTGGTTAATTACGGATACGAAAAATTATCGTATTTTCGTGCGACCCTGTTCTTTGTTTACCTTCACATCTTTCGTTACCGCTGACGCTGGCCGATCGAGATTCGACGGGAATGTTCTTTATATGCAGGTCGACGCGTGGAGGAAGGATTTTGTGAACGCATTGAGATTCTTCGAGTCAGGATTTGATTTTTTCCAGGTTGATACATTTTTGTATATAAGTAGATTTTTTGCCATACTAAGTTTTAAAATAAATCTTTAAAGTAAATCTAAATTGTTAAATAAATTAGAATATAACTGTTAAATATAATAGTGCTTGAGTATAAATAAATTAATTATTACTTGGTGTAAATAAATTATAAATAAATAAACTATTTTAAAATAAATAAAAGTTACAGTATAAAAAATTATTTAAAAATTGAAGAACGGGGTTTGAGTTGAAAGTTGACATATGTTTTCGGTATAAGCGGAAATGACAGAACTGTTCAATTATTTTAGATGGAAATATCATATCCTATTTTTATTAATTTTTAATAAAATCCAACCATTGATTTGTCAGATACAGTGTCGCCCCCGTCGCTGGACAGCCTGCACATTTTCGAAATATTTGGGAGATTTTTTAGATACCTATACAGGGTGTCCCAAAAAGTAGGCCAATCCGTTAACTATAGATTTCATAGGTCAGTGTAAGAAACCTCTATTATTATTTATTTTGAATGTTTAATATACTTGTACAATAGACTTGCAACTAGCTGCCTCTATAAGGTAGGTGGTATTTAGGCTCAAATTATGATTTGTCATCACAAAATACCCCGGTGTACAAATTCGGCGGGCGTAATTTCGGCCGGTAATCCCCTCGCCTATCTGCCAAAAACAAAGTGCCCATCTAATGACAGGTAATTTCGGCCGAGGGTAATGTTTATGATAGGATTTTGGAATATACCTGAAAATAATAATCTACCCTTTTCATATTTCCATTTCTTAGAAAAGTTAAGACATTTACATTCATCTTTCTTAATTTGATTTTCATTAGTTTAACAATGTGATTACCTAATTACAAAATAATAATCTATCCTTTTCATATTTCCATTTCTTAGAAAAGTTAAAACATTTACATTCATCTTTCTTAATTTGATTTTCATTAGTTTAACAATGTGATTACCTAATTACAAAGTACCGGACCTTTTAATATTAAGATACTAACCACTTATTTTGTGGGCGATCAAGAGATAGAAAACATCTATATTACACGATGGCAGTTTCGATAGTACAGAGTTCACGCGGTTGTGACTTGCTTATTGTAGAAAAATTTTCATTTTGTAAACAAGACGTATTAAAGAGTGAGGAAGTGCGTTGGAGGTGAATCAGGAAAAATTTAAAATGTTTAGCTAAATTGTATACTGTTGGTGCCGAATATATTGTAACCAGGAGTGAGTTAACTCAAAATCATGAACCAGATCAACGTTCTTTGCAGAGAAAAATTGTCACAAATGCATGCAAGCGAAAAGCCCAGGAGGACATATCGGAGAAACCTTCGAAAATTATAAAAAGGGTCCTTCCAACAAATTTACCGGACGAATTGATTACCGCGGATGTAAATCTCATGAGAAGAAATGTGTATAACAGTCGTCGTCAGCTCTTGCCAGCCCTGCCTAAAGATATTCATGAAGTACATACTGTAGTTGATATGTATTCTCCTAAAACGACAACAGGTGAAAATTTTTTGTTTATTAACAGTTCAGTTGATAATATCATTGTTTTTTCTTGCCAAACAAATATTACTACGTTGTGTAAAATGAATGTTATATATATGGATGGCACATTTTCTTTTTGTACGAAATATTTTTATGAATTATTTACCATTCATGGCCTGGAAAATGGGCACTATATACCTCTTTTATATTGTCTGTTAGCAAATAAGACTGCTGACATATATTAAACTTTTTCTGTTGCTTAAATCTAAAATTTTGAAAGTTTTTAATATAGTTTTTGAACCGATGGAGGCATTCGTAGATTTTGAAATATCAATACATATCGCACTAAGAAATGTTTTGTCAAAAACGAAAATAAATGTTTGTAGATTTCACATACATCAAGCGTGATACAGGAAAATTCAGTCTTTAGGGTTAGATTAGATTTAATTAGGACTATGGGCCATGTGGCCTCCCCCACCTCGACCTTTTCAGATCTATTGTGGATATCCTTTAATCATTGTTTAGAGTACCCTGTCTAATGCGGTCTTTTGTAGTAGACTCCATAGACTGGGAAGTAGTTCTCCGGTATAGCTAGTTGCCCTTGGTTTTTCTTCTCCAAGTGTAAGGAATCTCAGTCTTACTAGACCTTCGCAGTAGCACAATACGTGTTCTGCCGTTTCCTCTTCTTCTTGACAGAATCGGCACAAGGCCTCTTCTGTCAGACCGATATTGAACATATGTTTGTTAAGCCTACAATGCCCTGTTAATAGACCTACTAGTATTCTAGTATTTTTCCTATTAAGGTTTAGTAGATGCTCGGTGAGTTTAGACGATGGTCCCTTTAAGAACTTTTTGGCCTGGTGAGTTTTCCCACCACTCCTGAGATTTTTTAAACATCCACTGCTTTGTGCATGTTCTAATAGTTGTTTTTGTTACACCACAGAAGGGTTCTGGGCCAATAAGAGCATTTGAAGCTCCTTCTCGGGCTAGTAAATCAGCCTCTTCATTGCCTTTGTGTCCCCTGTGGCCTGGTACCCAGGCTAAGGTTAGTCTGTTTTGACTACCCAGCTCTGTTAGGGCTTCCAAACAGTCCCACACAAGCTTTGAGTGTACCTGCATGGAACTGAGTGCTTTTAACGTCGCTTGACTGTCTGAGTATATGACAATGGCTTTTCCATTTACCTTCTGTCTTAATACTTATTTTGCGCAGTGATGTATTGCTGCTATTTCTGCCTGGAATACTGTCGCATATTTACCTAAGCTCAGTGAGATTCCTGTCTTTGGCTTGGTACTATATATACCTACTCCTGAACCTTCATGGGTTTTGGAGCCGTCTGTATACCAGGTGAGATCTGCATGAATAGGAGGTCCTCCCGTCCACGCTTCCCTGTCTGGTATACTTACTTTATATTGCTTTTGAAAGCTATACTTTAGAAGCATTTCGTCTGAAGGCATTCCCATTATTTGGTCGTTCTCCAACTCTTTATATAGCTCGCTGTAGTCGCGTCCATGCAAACTGCTTATGGGCGATGAACCTTTGTACAGTCTGTATGTGATAGACCTGGCTTCGCCTTGAATCAATATATGTAGTGGTGTTAGGTTTAGCATGACTTCTATAGCTGCTGTTGGAGTCGTTCTCATAGCTCCCGTGGTACTCAGGCATGCTTGCCTTTGAATACCATTGAGCTGTCGAATGGCTCCAGGGTTAAGTCAAATATATAAAGACAAAAACTCTGAAGAAAGTAAATGGCTTATTCACACTTTTGGGCTTACTTATTTAAAACCATCTGATGTTGAGGATTGTTTTATATTTGATTTAATGTCTTGCAAACCAAATAATGAACTGTTGGATAAATACGCAGACTATCTATTACAATATCATACAGCACCTGATTCCGATTTTTCACCAAATATATGGGCAGACGAAAATGCATCTATAAAACATAAAACGAACCACAAATGCTTGTGAATCGTTCCATTCTAAATTGAATTCTTCATTTTATTCTTGCCACCCTTCAATATTTATTTTTATAGAAAAGTTAAAAGAATTCCAGATCGATTCATATTTAAAAATAAAAAGTTTAAATATAACAGCAAAAATAAAAGACAAGCAAGTCAGAAATAAATTAAAATTTATTGAAAATATGGTAAATGCTTCGGTCTGGAAAAATTTCTAGATTTAATTTTGTTAAAACTGTATCATATCAAAGTTCGTAAAAATGTAATGTATGTTTTTAGCTCTAGTTTTTAAGTAATAGTGTCTTTGATTTTGGTTTAATAAAGAATGTTATAGCAATTCTAGATCTTATTTTATTTTACCTGCTCCTTCCGGCCGAAAATACCTATACGATAAGAACGAACCCTTAAACCTCCGGCCGAAATTACATATCCCCTTTAGGTACCTGTCCTTTTTCCGGCCGAAATTACATCCGCCCTACAAATTTTAAGCCATCTACTTAATAAAACGACGAAAATATAATGAAAACTGTATTTTTTAAATTAACTTTATCACCCTGTATATTAAAAATGATGACCCCAATCGACAAAAACAATAATAGAGGTTTCTTACACTGACCTAAGGAATCTGTGGCTAACGGATTGGCCTAATTTTTTGGGACACCCTATATGAATGTTTTAGTGATATGTATGGGTAAAAATATAGATATAATGGGAGCCATATTTACTCATGCAGTTAATTAAAAATTATATCAAAATAAATCTGAAATAGAAAAAAAGAAATGTTGGATTAAAGTTGTGATTATTAAATATAGATATTGTATAACACTATTTTTTACCTAACCATAATTATTTTGAGCATACCCTGTATATTAGAAGCAAAAAGTATTTTTATCAAGTAGGTACTTGCATAGAGATTAATATTCTATTATTATTATTTTTTTTATTTTAACATGCACTAAATTACAAGGTGTCCACAGGAAAAAAATATAATTCAAGAGGGTTTTGAAGAAAGAACCTTAAGATTTTGAATGATTATTCCAGGATATAGGGGAACACGGGTCAGCCGTCACCCTCATTAACCCCTACCCCAAGATGAGTGACCCTATGGAGCGGTAGGAGATACATTGTTCGTTGTCCCTCTATATCCTAAACAACCACCCAAAATTTCAAGTTTTTATCTTTAAAAACACCAGAAATAATTCAGTACTATTTTCGTGTGGACACCTGGTATTGTTTATCCCATATTTTAAATGTAAAAGTTAGTATCCTAATACCCTTTCATTTATTTGTTGCATATGTTCTATTTCTACCCATTACATGCTGCTTACGTACCACCGCCACCAAATATTTCTCGTACGTAAATTTTAAATCTGGATTCGGATAAAGCTGGAAAAAAAAAGACGGTTCAGTTTATCTGGCAGAAAATTCGCCTGTAAATTTGAATTTTTTTAAAGTTGGTTATTTGCAGCGCCTCGGGAAGGTGGTAATATTTTTTTAATAAAATAGTACAACCCGTATATTATTATAGGTTTCGTAAATTAAAAGGTAAATGGTTGCATTTTTTATGATTTAAACTATTTTCAGGTTTCTTATGCCATTTATAGGAAAATAGTTAAAAGTTGATGAACAATTTTATGCCAAATTCAATACAAATAGAAATAATATTGTTTGTAATATAATTTGTAAAAACTTAAAAGACGACTCGTATGGAATCTATAATGAACAACTTAAATAAAATAAAAATCTAAAAATCATCAAGGTGCATAGTAATCTATCATTCGTCAGTGTTCTATAAAACGAATCAAAGCACTTAAATTGAAATTGAGAACAATCAAAACCGAGCAATATTTTATTTATAGAAACTAGCAATTTGTTTTCTAATTCTATTGTAAACTTGATGATTTATTCTCCACACAACATATCGTCAAAAATTTCATTTTGAATTGCCGCTACTTGATTAGATTTTCTATTAATTAATCTTCGAATCCATTTTTCAAACAAATCCACTGACGGTTTTTCTATTGTGTTCTTATATGATTAATGGCTTAATAATTTTGTTTATGTAGATTTAGCGTGTTTTTTCACACCCCTCAGTTGATTTAAATGGCTTGAACAAATATGTCCAGTGGTCTTGAGTTAATCATCTAGCATGTTTTCATATATATTAGTTTTCTTTTTTTTTTGTTTCTTTTATAAATAAGTGTACCTAAGTTAAAACTTGTTTCAGGTTGATTATTTACTTAGCTATACTCTTATAATCGTATTTTTCTTACATATACAGAGTGTACCAATTTTGGGGACAAGTTAGATATTTTTCTCATTGTAAAAATATTAAATAAAAATGTATTACAAAAATTATTTCAGGTACTTTACATTAAAGGCGATTTTAAATCAGTTACTAGTAATGTGACCAAGTCAAGTGTGGTCAAGGTTCTTACGTCATTATAATGACGTTCTATTAATCTCATTTAAAAAGGTTTGGTTTATATTGTCACTAACTTGATAATGAGCATTATTAAATTCTTTATTTAACTTTGCTAATACAAAAATAGTTTTTACAACAATAAGTATAGTTCTTACATTATGTATAGTGTCTAAATATGAATAAAAAAAAACAAATAAATTAGTGTCTAACTATGAATAAAAAAAATATATATATACATGTAAAATATAAAATTAAATGTTTATTAATTAAAATCTTTTTTTTTATTTATACCCTTTGTGTCATCATAATATAGTTTTTAAGTTTATATTTAAAATTATTTAATGAGGTAGCATTTTTAATTTCAACTCATTGTAAGCCTGCTGACCCTTGACAAAGACCGAATTTTAGGCACTCCTACTTATAACATGTCGAATATGAAAATTAGTCCTATTTCTTGTATTATAATTGTGAAATTGAAAATTGTAATCTATTTTTTCAAGTAAGTATGAAGGCATCATTTGTAATTGAATTTTAAAAATAAAAATTAATGTTAGGTATAGAATGTAATTTTTAACTGACATCTACTCAAGATCCTGTAACATTGTTTTTATATGAGTTCTTTTATCACAAGAAAGTATTATCCTCATTGCCCTATTTTGAAGTTTCTGCAACCTGTTTATTTCATTTTGGTTTAGCAAATATAAAATTGTGGCACAATACGTAAAATGGGGCAGATTAAACTATTATAAAGAAGCTTTAAAGACCATTGGTTAAGATGTTTTTAGCATCTATATAAATAGCTGATTTTAAATGATATTGTTTTAATAACATAATTAGCATGTTCTTTAAATACTAACATATAGTCAACTATGACACCCAGATATTTAAATTTTTTAACAACTTCAATATTACTATTTTCTATATTTACTTTTAGGCTAATATTATATTCTTGATAGTTTTTGTCATTTCCTATTATCATGAACTTAGTTTTATTGTTATTAGTTTTTAAAGAATTAAAACAGCACCATTGAAATATTTCTTTTAGTGTGTTATTTATATTTTCAATTATTTCATGTAACTTGTCTGAAGCAAAATAGATCAAAGTGTCATCCGCAAATAAAATAATGTAACAGTTTTCTGCGACACGTGCTATATCATCAATGTACAAGAGGAACAATAATGGTTCCAACACACTTCCTTGCGGGACACCTTGTTCATTTTGGATTTCATATGATGTAATGTTGTTAAACTTTAGCTTCTGTTTTCCGCTATCTAAATAATTTATTAACCACTGTTTTTTAAAAAGGACGCATTTATTTCATCCGAACTTCCTTTATTGGGTAAGTCAAAAATAATTTCTCTCATTGTGTCAATGTAAATGAAGTTAAATTTCTTAAAAAACACATGATTATACTTAAGTGCTACAGGAAAATTTCTATTATTACGATTTATATTAGAAATAATTTCTTTTATACTATCAATATAAAAGTTGTTAAGGGCATTGGGGATCTCAATTGTCAATTGTCAATGACATTGTCAGATATGGTGAATTTTTGTTTGTGTATTATGTATTGTACTTAGGATTTGGTTTTGAATTTGTAGGGATAAAAAACAAGTTATAAAAGCAATTTTAAAAAACCGACTTCAAAATCACCACATCTTGAGGTAATCCTTTATTGGTAGTAAAGAATTATCGATAAACATACATAAATAATGAAGAATTTGAGAATTTTCTCATGGACCCAATAATTAGATTTTGACCAAATTTATAAGGAACTACCCCTAAAGTACCCCCTTTCTAACAAAAAAAGAATCAGTGAAATCGGACACCGTGTTAATGAATTATCGCTGAACATACATAAAAAAATATAGAAGGTGTTGAAAATTGGTGTTGTAGTTGCTTTGGCCTCCGAAATTTTATCAATCCTTTTCCCATGTTCATTAATAAATCTTGGCTATTATGAAAATAAATTGGCTTCTCATTTACAAAAATCTTAAATGCGTCTATGTCTAGGTACTCAGCTAGGGTTGCCAGACGTCCCGCCTTAGGCATAATTGTCCCGCTTTTTAACTTGCACCACATTTCACCTAAATGTAGGTGTACAAAAAGACAATACATAAAAACACACTACCACGAAAAAATAAGGACAATGTCCACAGACTGACGCTAAAAATATTATACAATGGTTGTCCCGAGAAGAAGACAGCTGGAGGAAGAACACGACTCGATACGCGCGCGTGAGACTATCCAATCAGGCTATAACAATGACGAATGACGATCATTCATGCGCTGCAGGCAGTGCCAAGAACGGTGTCGTGGCGCCATATTTAAATATAGCGAAAAGAGTTAAACGTCCACATTACTGACGTATTTAAAACGTCCTAAAAACATCCCAACAAAGACGTTTTAAACATATCCTGAGCAGGACGACTTAAAACCGTCCGTTTTACGTACAGGACTTTTGGACGAAAGTAAGACATGAACTGGACGTCTTTAAGATGTAATGTGCTATATGAGTATTATTAAATTAGGCTAGTAAAAAAAATTATAAATAAATGAAGATAAATTTATTACTGCCCCTTAATGTCAATTTTTCAATTTTGCGTAGGCGCATTTCGGAAATAAATCAATATTTTTAAAATTGAATTTGTTAAATGTTCAAACACAAAATTCTTCATAACTTTGGTAAAAATTAAGATATTTGAAAAAACAAAAATGCGTTTTGACCTTAAGGGACGTGACTATTGATTCCCAGAAGGGGGCAAAATAAATCCCAAAATTGGGCATATGGCGAAAGGGCAAAGTGTACCGTGGGCCTAATTTCATTATTTGCCTATAACGGCCAAACTATTTAAATTTTTAATTTTTAATGCCACTTACTGAGCTTACTCTTGAATGAGAAATCTCATGTGTGTATGAATTTCACCAAAATCTGACTATAATTGGCCAAGATATCAAATAATTTAACAAAATTTTTTCCCTAAAAAAACTAAATTTTTTTCCAAAGTCTGAAGTGGCACAAAAATGCTAAAAATGCTCAAAACTTTTTTTTTGAGTACTTTATTGTGTCTAAAATACGATTACATTACGGAAAATTCTGCAAAATATTTTATCTATTTTTTTGACCACTGTTTATTGAATGACGACCAAAAAACACGGTTTTTAAGAAAAATTTCCTAAAATTGACGATTTTCAGTTTTTTGGTCTGAAAATTGAGCAAACCCAAATTTCATGTCTTCTGAATGTGCATACAAAGTTTAAAGTGTGTATGTTACTTCTAAGTTGTAGAATTCTTCCGACAAAAGTCCCATTACACGCGCTCCGCGGGATCCAAAACTTGTGTATACACTGCATTTCTGTAATTTGATTTTTTTGCGATTTCCAGTTTTAAATTTCTTACATACCTAAATTTATTAGGCTTAAAATTTATTAAATTGTATTTTACTGACTTGTTATAAGACGTTTTTTGAGTTTTGTGCAAAATATAGAATTACCGCAAAATAAGCCGCACGTCGCATCAAGGATAGCCATGGCCTCGGCGTTCGCTATCCGACAAGTTTAAACTTCAAATGGTCATATTATTACAAATTGAATCGCTTGATAGTATTCATCGACATAGATTTTTAATAACCGTGTTCTCAGCAAGCTCTGTGTACACGTGGTTTTTCGCACTTCTTCAGCAATTTATTAAGTACGTTCCTAAATTAATAAAATTCTATCACAGTGCTATAATTTTTTTGTTTCTAGGTTGCAATGGCTGGCCTGTGTTTATTATGTCATCAGACACTTGCAGAGGGTGAACTTACCCCAAGTAGACCGACAGGATTGAAAGGTGTGCAGACGGTCAGCAAAGAAAGGAGGGATGATTTTTTCAGGTTTATTATTGCATGAGATAATCATATGGAAAAAAATTAAAAAAAACTACGCCTTCTGGATTTCCTGCGAATTCCCGAAAAATTA